ACTGGAGAAGGGGCAGAGCGGGGGCATGGTCTTGGAGAAGGACTGGGGTATGGGTGATCAGTTTTCTGTGATCAGAAAGTTGGCAACCTGACATGAAGTCTGAAAGAAAGGGGTGCATCTGAAGACCATTTTCCTCAGGCTCATATGCCTGTTTTAAGAGAATAAATCTTAAAGAATGAACTGGACTTGGCAGCTAGTATTTGGAAGCCCAAGAGAAGCCCGGTGCTATGACAGACATGGACTTACAAAAGCGGCGAGGAGTCCTGTGGCTCCTTATAGACTAACTGAAGTGTTGGAGCATAAACTTTCATGGGCAAAGACCCACTTCGTCAGATGCATCTAGTGGAAATTTCCAGAGGCAGGGATAAATAAGCAGGCCAGGATCAGGCTGGAGATGACGAAGTGGATCCAATCAAGGAGGATGAGGCCCACTTCTAGTAGCTGATCTGGAGGTGTGAATTCCAGCGGTGTTGCTGGATCCTACCAGTAGGGCTGCCGACAGCAGGAAGCAAATGGAGCAGTTGCCCCAGGGCCCAGTGATTTAAAAGGGCCCGGGGCTCCCAGCTACTGCAGCAGTAGTAGGCAAGTTGCCACTGGAGCCCTGGAGCTCTTGCCTTCCACTGTTGCATCCCTGGGGTTTCTGGCCGCAGGGCACAAAAGACTGGCTAGGGAGAGGATCTGCCTCAAGCCCTGCCCATTCCATCTGAGCAAGAGTAAATCCTCTTGCTAAGGATGCCTGATGCCTGGCCGGCATTTACTTTTACCCCTGGAATGGACAGACCAGGGCAATGTTGAACTGACACAAGTTCAAGGTCTTGCAGAATTGGCTATTAAATTACTTATATGAAGTGGAACTGCTTTAACGAGAGGAAGTGCAAGGTTCTCTGCCCAAGAGGATCTCATAATCCAGTGACCAGGGCAGTATCCTGCAATGTGGGAAACTCAACTTCACCTCTGTCTCCCCCATCTGGCAGAGGGAAGAACTGAACCCTGCTGTCACTCCCCTCATCAGAGGTGAGTCCCCTAACCAGTGGGCTAACAGTTATTAGGAAGGCTACCCCATCTTCCTCCTCCATCAGTGCCTAATAAAATCCATTTCAGGTTAAATAAAATATGTTTCATTTGACCCAAAATGGATTTTTTGTGATTCATTGAAATTTTTCAGTTTTGGGATTTGGTTTGATCCAAATCAATTTTTTTTTTAATTTCAGAACTGCCAGGGAACCAAAAAACCATTTACTTGCACAGCTCTGTTCCATATAATTTCCTAGTGTAGATAAAGCCAGAGACAGAAGAAATCCCCTCACTCATATTGGATGAAACACCCTTGTACATCATTAGAGCCTTACTATAAATAGTTAAATTGTTAATTTAATGCAGGCTATAAATCGTTCTCTTTATTCATTAATCGTTGCTAACCCCATTTCTCCCATGGGTGTGTATGTAACTGTAATGATTAAATTCATTGTTTTTGCCTCAGCCACAAAGAACGTAAACAGCACTTTGTTTAGTTTCATTAAACACCATAATAATAAGGGTTAGGGAAATATCTCCCTGAAATATAAGTTACTTAATATCACATGAGAGGAAGTCCTCTTGTGAACTTTACATCTGCTTTATTGTGTATGACTGACATAACACAAAATTTAATAATAATTTCCCATTGAGATTTGCTCCATGAGCAGGACCTTAGAATCATAGAGTCATAGGGCCGGACGAGACCTCAGGAGGTCATCAAGTCCAGTCCCTTGCCCAAAGCAGAACCCAACTAAATCAACCCAGCCAGGGCTTTCCCAAGCTGAGATTTAAAAACCTCTAGGAATGGAGATTCCGCCACCTCCCTAGGTAACCCATTCCAGTGCTTCCCCACCCTCCTAGTGAAATAGTTTTTCCTAATATCCAACCTAAACTTCTCCCACTATATCTTGAGACCATTGCTCCTTGTTCTGCCATCCGTCACTACAGAGAACAGCCTCTCTCCATCCTCTTTGGAACCTCCCTTCAGGAAGTTGAAGGCTGCTATCAAATCCCCCCTCACTCTTCTCTTCTGCAGACTAAATAAGCCCAAATCCCTCAGCCTCTCCTCATAGGTCATGTGCTTCACCCCCCTAATCATTTTGGTTGCCCACTGCAGGACCTTGTCCAATGCATCCACATCCTTTCTGTAGCGGGGGGGCCAGAATTGGATGCAGTACTCCAGATGTGGCCTCACCAGTGCTGAATAAAGGGGAATAATCACTTCTCTAGATCTGCTGGCAATGATCCGCCTAATGCACCCTAATATGCCATTAGCCTTCTTGGCTACAAGGACACACTGTTGACTCATATCCAGCTTCTCATCCATTGTAATCCCCAGGTCCTTTTCTTCTGAACTACTTAGCCAGTCGGTCCCCCTGTAACAATGATTGGGATTCTTCCATCCCAAGTGCAGGACTTTGCACTTGTCCTTGTTGAACTTCATCAGATTTCTTTTGGCCCAATCCTCTAATTTGTCTAGGTCCCTGCCCTCCAACCTATCTATCTCTCCCCCTAGCTTAGTGTCATCCATAAACTTGCTAAGGGTGCAATCCAGCCCCTCATCCAACTCATTAATAAAGATGTTGAACAAAATCAGCCCTAGATCCGATCCTTAGGGCACTCTGCTAGAAACCGACCACCAACCTGACATCGAGACATTAATCACTACCCGTTGGGCTCAACAATCTAGCCAGCTTTCTATCTGTCTTAAAGTCCATTTATCCAATCCATCCTTCCTTAACTTGCTGGCAAGAATATTGTGGGAGACCGTATCAAAAGCTTTGCTAAAGTCAAGGTATTCACATCCACTGACTTCCCCATGTCCACAGAGCCAGTTACCTCATCATAGAAGCTAATCAGATTGGTCAGGCACGGCTTGCCCTGGGTGAATCCATGTTGACAATTCCTGATCACTTTCCCCTCTTCCAAGTGCTTCAAAATGGATTCCTTGAGGATCCCCTCCATGGTTTTTCTGGGGACTGAGTAAGGCTGACCTTATACTATTCATAATAGTATTTTACTATTGTCTCTCTCTGCTCATCAGTTGAAGACATATAGACTTTGGGTTAGGACTCCTATTCTATATCACCCTAACTCCACTGATATTGATAGTTATGGGGTAGGTGATCCCTTAAAGGGAAGGCCTCTCCTCACTACCTAGTCTTTCAGAGAGCTGGACTACAAAACCAGATCTGAGAGAAGATCATGAAATAAGAAACCTTGAGTACTGGGATCAGAAAACTACAAAAAAAAAAAGTTTTACAAACTTGTGCTGTTTTCATGAAAGAGGCACAAAGACCTTTACCAATCCTCAACCAGAGAGATAGCAAAATCTACTAGGCCATACATAGCTTTAGATACCCAAAGGGTATGTCTAGACTACATGCATCTATCGCCAGAGGCATGTAGATTAGGCTACCCAGCATAGGGAAATGAAGCCGCGATTTAAATAATCATGGCTTCATTTAAATTAAAATGGCTGCCATGCTCTGCCGACCAGCTGATGATCAGCTGTTTGTCAGCAGATCGGGGCAGTCTGGACGCACCGCAGTCGACAAGCAAGTCTTTGTCGACCAGCGCAGGTATGCCTCGTGAAACCAGGTATGCTTTTAATCTAATTTCTGTTTGTTGCTATGAAACATAATCAGAGGCCTAGCAGACAGTGTGTTAGTAGCATTTTCCCTGGATATCGACACCAACTCCTGGGAGACCCTGGCACAAGACCGATCGACATGGCTCATGCTGATCCACCGAGGCTGTCAAACATCTGAAGCCAGAAGGACAACCATAGCACAAGAGAAGCGAGCACTCCGTAAAGCCAGAGTTGCAAACGCTGCAACAGTGGTGCCTACACATGTCTCCCCGACATGTGGCAGAACATTTCGTGCCCGCATTGGCCTTATCAGCCATCTGTGGACACACCGTGGACAGCCCACAACTCGTTAGATGTCAAGGTTAAATCTGCACTGCTGCTTTCCTCGGGGAATACGCTTATTTCAAAATAGTGATTTCATGAGTTATTATTTCGAATTTGGTAATTTTGAAATCATTTCCTAGTGTAGACAGGCCCTAATTGTCCCAAACTAGGAAGTATGAGCAGTTTACCAAATCATTGGTCCTTAAAGGGTTCTTTCACTTTCCTCTGACATTTCTAGTACTGATCCCTGTCACAGATAGGATACTAAACTAGTTTGATCATGGATATGATTCAGTCTGGCAGTACCCATGTTTCTATTAATTAGATGTCCTAACACATCTTTCTTTTTACAATCTGGTGCACCTCAAATATGACAGGTTGCAGGGTTTGTTTGTGGGGTTTTGTTTGTTTGTTTTGGTGGGTGCCTGATAAACCATGTAATGACCTGCAACACCATTAATAAAATAATTAAAGAGCCTTACCAATTATTGTTAAATAAAATCCCGCTACGAAGTCAGCTTCCCTAGAGAGTTTTGATGCAAAGGGGTCTTCATCCTGGAGGTAATGAGGAAGATAGCCATCTTGGGGCAAAGTGCTGTGATTTGATGCCATGCCACTCACGTACAGATTAGCAGTGTCTGAAAAGCAAAACAACGAACTCCATAATAGATTACAATTGCCACCAGCAATCACAATGGATTTTTGTTTATATACTGAAGAGTGGAACCACATCACCCCATCCCCATCTTCGGTCTACCAGCGTTCCTTTCATTTCAGGATCCAATTCAGAGTTGTACTCCTTGCTTTCAAATATGCCCCTCCCCCAACATCTTGCTGCAAGTTACCATCTGGCTCTCTCCATGAATGTAGGCACTTAAAAGGTTCTTGGCACTGAAATATACTTGAGCAACATTTTTACTCACCCACCCCTCTGTTCATATGGCAATAGACTCTCATCTGCCCCTTCAACCACTCTCACCGCTCTTGATCCAAGAATTTGGACATAGGCAGCTCCTTTTATATACAAAACCATTGTATTGAGCCTCCTTTCACACCATATTTAGTAAGTCATGCTTAGCAATTGTACAGCCCTTTTCATCCATACATCTCAGAGCTCTTTGCTAATGTGGGTTTGTATTATCATCCTCATTTTACTTATAGGGACTAAGTATGTGAAATTTAATCAACTAATCGACTAGTTGATGGATTTTCCATCGACTAGTCGATTAGCAGGGAGCCACAGTGGGGTTAACCCCACTGTGGCTCTGCCTTTTAAACGTATTAAGAGCTTGCCAGCTCTTAATACATTTACAAGGCTGGAGCGCAGTGGGGAGTACCCAGTGCGAGCCAAACCAGCTGATTCCTGGCTCGCACCGGGTTCCCTTGCTGTGCACCAGCCTTGAATATAAAAAGGGGACCTGGAGTGAGCCGGGAATCAGCAGTCCCGCTCACATCGGGTCCACCCTGCTGTACTTCTGATTTTTAAATGTATTAAGATGCAGCATCAGGGACTAGGTGTGAGCCAGGAATCAGCTGATTCCCAGCTTGTGCCTGGACCCACTACCCCACTGCCTCCCTTGCCCGCAGTGGAAATGGTGTTCTGATAGAGGCAGCAAGACGGTGGGAGGGCCGGGAAGTGACTAGTCGAGGGACTTTTGCTTATCAGATAGTCGACTAGTCGCTTACATCCCTAATAGGGACACAGAGTGGTTGTCATAATGAGCGAGTGACAGGGCTGCAGATGGTGGGGGGAGAAGGGGGAAAGGAGGCAATTGCTCCAGGGCCCAGTGATTCAAAAGGCTGCCAGATTGGTACACAGTGGTGATACTGCAGCTGTGGTGGTGCTTTAAATCACCTCTGGAGCCCCATGTGGCCGCCTGGAGCAGGTGCAGTGCATTCTGGGCAGCACTGAGGCTGCCTGGGGTATACTAGCCCAGCCTTGCCTCCTTGGGGGGCACAGAGCTGTCCTCCCTCTCCTTGCCCAAGGATCAGGGGAGTCTGTCAGCCCCACTGACGAGTGATGCAGGTTCAGAACACAGATTTGAAGCAAGAGGCAATGCTAAAGTAAGTGGTATCAACTTTATTCTGACAGTCAGGTTCACCTTCATATCCATTACGTTTTGACAGTCCGAGACTGGATCCTTCCCCATGAAAATCATGTCGGGCTAAAAGGGAGAACAGGAGTATTCCTGCTTATAAAGCTTATGCAGAAAACTTTCCAGCTTGGAATTAGACTAACCACCCCATTGAGACTCTACATTCCCTACCCCTGACATCTCAAAGGATTACTGGGTCCATTTCAAGTCTCTGGCTATAGATAATAATGCCCTTTATAGGCTGGGATCAAGATACTTCAGTGTTGGTCTCTGCATCGCAAACCCACAAAACCACGGCTGTTTTCAGTGCCACAGTGATTTCCAGCACCTGTTGGAGCTGCAAGAACCAGCTTTTTAGGGCCAGGTCCTCAGCTAGGAACACTCACCCCACCTAAGCAAATCACAAATATGCTTGAAAGCCTGGCCATCCCTAGTGCACAATCCAATCTATCTTATCGCAGGAGCCAATGCTCTATAACAGAAATGAAGGAGAAAGGTAAGAAAGAGATTGAGCGAAGCAAGAAAAAAATCAAATACAAAGGGACTATTCCAGGAAATCAGGAATAATGTTTGTTCTGAGCCGCCACAGGATTGCCTTGTGTCATGCTTTACAGACTGTAAAAACTTAAAAAACAATGAATAGTCGAGCAGCACCTTAAAGACTAACAAAACATCTAGATGGTATCATGAGCTTTCGTGGGCACAACTCACTTCTTCAGATGACTGGAGTATTAGAAGTCCAGTTCCAAAATGAATAGGGGATGGGAGAGGGGAGAAGGAAGGGAAAAAATTGTGAATTAGAGCAGTGGTCCCCAACCTTTTGGGGCTGCCGGGCGCCTGAGGGGGCGTCCGCTCATGCATCGTGTGCCCAGAGTGTGGGCGTGCATGCATCGTGCGCCCGGGACGGCCAGGGCAGCCAGGGACCAGGGTGCAAGAATAGCTTGGGCCAGCCCTGGTCACTCAGCGGGCACACATAAATGCGGGCACCGGGTTGGGGACCACTGAATTAGAGTGCTCATGTTACATGAAGCTGATAGAGAAGGTGCAAATTGTTCTTAAGTGCCCATTGTTTGTTTTTTTAAGTCATTAGGACGTGGAAGGCAGTGTGCTAGCCAGGCAACGTCTTTCTTCATGCCTTTGTGATGGGTTATCAGACCATTTCTGGAGGAAAGCTGGCCTGGGTCAGAGAGTCTCCTGGGAAACAGGCAGCTGACCAGGAAGTCTCCTCAGAGAGAATGGCATCATGTGACAAGCCTGACAGAGGTGACTGGCTGAACATGGGCTCAACCAGCCTATTTTTATTTTCTCTGTCTCAGTGACCAGAGGCCAGAGTTCGCAGGGAGTTAGGAAAAAAACAGGCCAGGACAGCATATTTTGCAAAACTGACCAGAAAGTCAGGAAACTGGGATCATCCCATAGCTCCAGAAGTACATGGTCAATCTTCCTCATAAGTAGAATGTAGATGGGCCAAATTTCAGAAAAGCCTCGTCCACCAAACTATCAGGAAAAGGTATGCAAATTGCGGAGTATAATTTGCGTACCTTTTTCCGATAAAACATTGTAATCTAGACCCGTGTTTCTTAAACTATGTTCCACGGAACACAGGAGTTCCCAGAACAACTCGCAGGTGTGCCACGACCTCTTCTTTGTTTTTGTCTTTTTTTGTCTGACAATTTTTTTTGAAGAACATTTTCATAGGTGTTCCGCATAAAAAATTATTATTGTTTGGTGTTCCATGATCTCAAAAAGTTTAAGAAACACTGGTCTAGATGTAGCCTTACATTTGCTCAGGAAGTAGAGGTACTAGTAAGTTTTACTTCTTTTTTCTTTCTTTTTGTGGTGTTTCCATCTCAGAGGGCAAGATTCGATGTCTTCCACTGTTTGATGCAGTGCTGTTGCAACCATGTTGATTACAGGATAGTAGAAAGACAAGGTGGGTGAGGTAATATCTTTTATTGGACCTTTCGTGGGTGAGAAAGACAAGCTCTGATGCATACACAGAGCTTATCTTTAGCCTCAGGAAACAGACAGTCACAGCTAATTACAAGATGGAACGGATTGTTTAGTATAAGTAGTTAATTCATAGTTCCAGGGTGGCTTAAGTTGCTATAGATTGTTGTGTCTATATTCAGTTCGGCTGTGTCTACACTGGCCCCTTCTTCGGAATAGCCATGCTAATTTAGAACTTTGGAATAGGGAAATGCGCGGGGGATTTAAATATCCCCCGCGGGATTTAAATAAACATGGCCGCCGCTTTTTTTCCGGCTTGGGGAAAAGCCTGAAAAGAGCGTCCAGACTGGCGCGATCCTCCGGAATAAAGCCCTATTCCAGAGGATCTCTTATTCCTAAAAAGTAGGAATAAGAGATCCTCCGGAATAGGGCTTTATTCCGGAGGATCGCGCCAGTCTGGACGTTCTTTTCTGGCTTTTCCCCAAGCCGGAAAAAAAGCGGCGGCCATGTTTATTTAAATCCCGCGGGGGATATTTAAATCCCCCGCGCATTTCCCTATTCCAAAGTTCTAAATTAGCATGGCTATTCCGAAGAAGGGGCCAGTGTAGACGTAGCCTTCATGTTTTATACCAATGAAGCAAGTTAGGTGTTCATTACAGAATAGCAAATGTTTCCCTAGTGGAGACCAGACCTAAACTTTTTTTTAATTCATAGTCAATTCCTTGAGAAGTATTTACTGAATGTGGACTTAATCAAATCAAGAGAGGGGAAATACCTTCTTTTACTTTACTCAGTGTGCTCAGAAGGTGATCAAGAAATAAACTTTTCTCTATAGATTTTTAACTAACATTTTCTTTTTCGCCAGAGGAGAAAAATAAGGTTATTTGTTTAGAAAAATAAACTCCCTGTCTAGCTCTCAACATTGCTTTATATTTACAATCCCTCCCTGCATATGAAAAGCTTTCAGCTATATAGAACCATCACACAGAAATGTGTTTTGTTATCTCACCTATTCACTCTCTCTTCCACAACAACCACATGCGGTGGGAAAACTGTACTAGACAAATAAAACTATGGTGGACATCCTGTAACTTCTGGACAACTGGTGTCCCATTCTCTAGCTGCTCCACACACGTAAAAGATAGATCCATTCAAATAAAGTCAGACAGCAGGCGCACACACACTGTTCATTGTGTACCACTTAAAGCTTATTCATACAGTAATTACATACAAGTTATCCAGGGGAGATGTGTGTAGGAGAAAGAAAGTGAATACGTCATCTGGAAATAAATGCCCAGACTGTTCTTTTGAATGAAGATGTTTATTCCTCTCCTGACCCACAGTGCAGTAATGAAAAGTTGAGATTGCCAACACTATCTGCCAGAGTGACCAACATGTGGTAAGAAGTGGAATGGCGTCCCAGAAATCCCCAACATGGTAAGATGGCACCCTGTATGTATGCCAAAATTTGGCTCATTTTAGAAACATGTTGCAGATATACAGGCCATTTACAAAAATCTAACTTGATGTACATGTTGAATCTCCCTAGTCTGCACTCTCTGGCCCAGCAACATCTGTTTTTAGTTAGCTGG